TTAGCGGGAACCCAAGAAAATATTTATCCCGAATGATGAAATAGTCTGCAAAGTTACAGGAGCAGCCAGCTATACTCAGTTAAACAGCCTAATGCTATCAATGCTCTTCTTCAGCACCCCGCACAGCTTCCTGCTGGGGGGGAGGAGGCAGGCGTGTGCGTGCATGTGTTGTGTGGGTGTGTGTGTGTGTGAGAGAGAGAGAGACTGTACGTGTGTAGTGGCAGAATGTATGTAGGTGTATATACAGTATGAGTGTGTCTATATATATGTATAGTGGGAGAATGTGTGTGTATATATAGATAAAGATGCAGGTAACGTAGGAGACTGTGTATACTGTCAGTATGTGTGTGTAATATATAGATACACACAGTGTGTACGGTGTGAGAATGCATGTGTATATTTAGTGTGTGTAGTGGGATAACGTGTGTATAAAATATACACGTATCTACACGCCTTTGGGCCTAAAAACAGACTAGCGCCATTGTTGAATTATAGACGTCAGAGGTGGACAAGGCCTAGTGGTTATTCCCCAGTGGCCAAGGCAGGTTCTTTGTCTAGTCTGGTTTGAGCTGACTTGAACGAAAGGGTTTCCATCTTCGGTGTAAAGGGATGATGTTCAGGAAGGACACCGGGAAGAACTGTCTGAATGTGACATCACCCTAGGCGCTGACTCTGTACTGAGGGTCGCTTTCCCCTCAAACCCCGATTGTATTTCCCCAAAAGGACTCTCTGGTGCTGTTATTTCCTGCACACCCCCTCTCGTACTATTTCACAGTCATCTGATGTTTGCAACACCTCCAGGGTGAGTGTCATTGACAAGCAAAATCTACACGCTCTTTACCCATTCTTGCAAATCATTCACACTCGCTCTATGTACTACAGACAATGATGGTAAAAGAATATTAAGGTTGCAAATTGCCCGTGCAAACTTAATTCAGCCCCCTTGTGTCTATGTTTTATGAAACAGTCTTTAATGACATGATCACATACATTTTTTCCCTGCCTCATTCAATATTTCTTTTTGTCCCCTCATTCACTGTTTGACCCCCGACCTTATTTACCACATGCTGTCCAAACCCTGCACTGAATACAAAACTATTCATTTCCTCAGGGGTGTTTCTAAGGTGCTCTCATTATAGTATCCGAATGCTTCACAAACATTGATGAATTTATCTTAACCGCCCCCCTCTCTTGGGGTTACTATGATCCCCATCTTACAGATGGGGAGCAGAGAGATAGAGTTTAAGGCCAACTGTCCATTATCTTTGGATGCCCGACTTGAGATAGCGAGGGCCTGACTGAGAACTTAGCAGTTTTATAACACTTGATACCGTCAGAGCACAGCTGTGATCAATTTCAGTTGCAGTTGTGAGCATGCTGCATTTCTGGACAGAAGAGCCCAGAGTCTCAAGTCAGAAAAAGAGGATCACGCAATTAGTGATTTGTGAAAAGGCTGGAGTACGTGATTTGCCCAGAATTACACAGGCAAAGGCAGGGATAGAATCCACTTCTCCAAGGTGACATTCAGCTGCCTTAACCAGGAGCCATCCTTTCTCATCCTTCAGTTCCTTCTCTCTGTCACTAGCCACCTTCCAATTATTGTGACAAACGAACCAGCGTCCCGGACAACAGCCTCATTCACTATACAACCATGATTCATCCCTGAGCAGATCTATCCCCTCCACTGAGTGAGGGGGAGGGGTCCAGTGGAGAAAAGAGTATGTGATCATGTAATGAAAGACTGTGTCAAAATAATGGAGTGGTTAATACAGGACTCAATTAATAAAGAACTAAAGGTCGATAATATAATGAATGCCAATAAACATGGGTTTATGGACAGTCGAGCTTATCAAACTAACTTGATGTCTTTTTTTGATGGGATTACAAGTTTGGTTGATAAAGGTAATAGTGTGGATGTAATATGCTTAGCCTTCTGGAAGGCAGAGGACTTGGGACCACGCAACATTTTGATTAAAAAGCTAGAATGATACAAAATTAAAACGACACACATTAAACGGATTAAAAACTAAGAGAGCGGTCTAAAAATGTGATTGTAGTTGGCACTGATGTGACCGCTGCTGGAATCCTGTTTCCAGTTCTGTTGCCTACAATTCAAGTTGTTGATAAATTGGAGAGGGATCAGAGAGGGGCTATGAGGAAGATTAAAGGATTAGAAAACATGCCTTATAGTGATAACTCCCAAGAGCTCAGTCTAAACAAATAGAAGGTGAAGGGGTGACTTGATTACAGTCTGTAAGTATCTACATGGGGAACAAAGAATTAATAATGGGCTCTTCAAGCTAGCAAAGAAAGGTACAACATGAGCCAATGGGTGGAAGTTGAAGCTAGACAAATTCAGACTGGAAATAAGCCGTAATTTTTTAACGGTGAGAGTAATTAACCATTGGAACAACGGACCAAGGGCCGTGGCAGATTCTCCATCCCTGACAATTTTTAAATCACTAGTGGATGTTTTTCTAAAAGATCGTTTCTAGGAATTATTTTGGGGCAGTTCTCTGGCCTGTGTGATACAGGGGGTCGGATTGGATGATCACAAAGGTCTCTTTTGGCCTTGGAATCTGTGAATCTGTAACAAGATCCAATGGCTGGAAGTTGAACGTAGGCAATTTCTGACTGGAATTAAGGCACAAATGTGTAATAGTGAGTGTAATTGACCATCGGTACAATTTACCCTGGGGCATGGGGGACTCCATCACTGGGAATTTTAAAACTGGATGTTTTTCTCAAAGATGCACACTAATTCTGGGAAGTCCTATGGTCTGTGTTACACAGGATGCTAGACTGGATGATTACAATGGTCTCTTCTGGCCTTCTGCTCTGTGAATCAGTGAATAATGCATACGCACAAGAGGGGGCCAAATTAAGGTTGCACAGGTAACCTAAATTCTGGCATTTCCTAGCTTCTGAGTGCTTGCCTTTGCAACCTTATTCTTTGAACATTTTAAACATAATTTCCCAACATAAAAAGCAAACAAACTAAACCCCACCATCAAACCTAAAAAAGAAGAAGAAGAAAAAAAAGAAAGAAATTCCATTATGTGGAAATATGCTGACTCCAACTGGACACATCAGCAGGGTTCAGACCTTTAGATCCACAGCACAGACTGTGATGACTTATGCTCACAGAGTAACTGGTAACAGCAGTAGGCTGTTATCCTCTGTCTACTAGAGGCAGGATGAGACACGCTTTGCTGATGGGTTTTATAGCTATTTTCGGACAGCAGAGGAGACTCAGGACTCCTGGTTCCATTCCAGAGTATGTAGGGGAGTGTTCGCTAGTGCTTATAGACCCTTCTGACCCATGCCCCCAGCCTCTCCCTTTCCCCTCTGTTCCTATCTAGCCCTCCAGTTCCTGCAACCCCCTCCCTCATCCCCATCTGTTTTTCATCCCGCTGTATTCCAGTGTGGCTGCTTCCTCCTTCTCCATCTCCTCTCTGACAGCTGGGGGAGCACTGAAAGCATAGGACAGACAATCTCCCTTCTCTCAGTTCTGGTCCCCAACAGAGAGAAGCAATGGCAGGGAAAGTCCTGCTCAGGCCCTGCCGTGCAGCCCCTGGCTGGGGTATGCTCAGTTGCTTTGTGGGGATGGTGTGTGCATGGTCTGGTCATACAGTAGAACTTCAGAGTTACGAGCACCTTGGGAATGATGGTTGTTCGTAACTCTGAAATGTTTGTAAGTGAACAAAACGTGATGGTGATTTGTTCAGAAGTTTACAGCTGAACATTGACTTAATACAGCTTTGAAACTTTACTATGCAGAAGAAAAATACTGCTTTCCCTTTGGATTTTTTTAGTAGTTTATGTTTAATACAGTACTGTACTAAATTGCTTTTTTTGCATGTCTCTGCTGCGGCCTGATCGCGTATTTCCCTTTCCAAATGTGGTGTGTGGTTGACTGGTCCGTTCGTAACTCTGGTGTTTGTATCTCTGAGGTTCTGCTGTACTTAGGAGCTGTGAGGGGATAGAGCGTGCTCAGTGCAGATAGTCTCTTCAGAGAATTTAGTTGCCAAACTCTAACGAGTCTTGACTGAGTGTGTACACACAGATTTTTTCAGAGATGTATAACTTGGTCAAATTTGGGCGGATTTGCCTGGAAACAGGAAAAGCACATCTCTGACACCAGTGTTATGCCCCGGCCAAATGTTGTGACCCCCCTGCTCCAAAGGATGGGGGTGCTGGAGCTTCCAAAGAAAACAAGTTGTAAGAAATTTTAGCAAATGCAAAACAACATATTTTTTCCTAACCTTGCTCTTGGAAATAGCTGAATCATTTTAGCTGAAAATTTAAAATATATAAATATATTCAGCCTGAGGCAGACACCTCACATGGAAAATTTCAACCCAAACAGTTAAAGTCTGGCAAGTTATAATCAGCTGAAAACAGGGACCTATAATGATAAATGTCAGGTAAACTTAACTATACACATCACTATCAGCTCCACCTATAATATATGGTGTAGATTTTTAAAGGCAAAATGATATTTAGGCACCTAGTTCCTACAGAACATCAATGAGTCTCGAGCCATCGGTCTATCTGGCCTCTGTTGTCACTGCAAATATCTGAGCACCTATCAGGATGCTCTGAGTAATCTCTTGTCTACGTGGGCCATGCCATGTTCAAGCCAATCTGTATTAATGTTTCAAGTGAGATTTCAGGCTGTATCAAACATTTTGGGAGAATGGGGTGTGTCTTTCAAGCCCCCTGCTGCGTTTCCCTCTAGTGCTTTTACACTGTAACTGATAAAGTACAGTGGGGCAGAAGACAGAGAGAGGGTCCCCGTCCTGGACTCAGGGTGGAGCCTCTGAGGCAGCTGGACTCAGGGGTTCCTCTGTGGGGAAGGGGGTTAATTGAGTCAGGGAGTGTTGATTGATGGCTCTCTCCCTCTCTCTCCATATGGGGTCTCTGTCTCAAGGGATAGCAAATGGCAGGTGCCCAGAGTGCTGGGGCGGGGACTTACCTACTTCTCTTCTGTGTTGAAGGTAAATGTTGAAGACACTGTCGAAATGTTACCCAAGTCCCGGCGAGCGCTCACAATCCAGGAGATCGCTGCCCTCGCCCGGTCCTCCCTGCACGGTAATGCCGGGGGGCCTCGTGTGCGTCTCTCAGAGGGGTGTGTCATGAGGGTGGAGTGGGACTGGGGTGTATCCTTCTAGGAGAGGGGCGTTTTATGGGATTTGGAGTGGGGGTGGGGATGTCTCATTGGGGTTTGTGTCACCCGTGGGACGAGCTTATGGGGACAGAGGGTGTCTGATGGGGGGGTGCCCCAGGGATATCTCATTAGGGGGTGGGGGGTGTCCCATTGGGGGTGACATGGGGTGTCCCATTGGGTGGGTGCTGGGTTTCCATAGGTCCCCCTCCTGGTCCCCTGCCCACTGCAGTCCCTGATGCTGCCCGGTGTGTTCAGGTATCTCACAGGTGGTGAAGGACCATGTCACCAAGCCCACAGCCATGGCGCAGGGCAGGGTGGCGCACCTCATCGAGTGGAAAGGCTGGTGCAAGCCCACGGACTCCCCGGTGGCTCTGGAGAGCGCCTTCAACTCCTACTCGGACCTGAGCGAAGGGGAGCAGGAGGCCAGATTTGCAGCAGGTGGGAGTGGTGTGACGGGCCCGGGCACATGGACCCCAAGAGGCTCACTTGAGAGGGAGATGGAGGCGGGGTGTTCCCCCCCGCTTAGAGGAATGGTGGGAGGGTTATTGCCAGGCACGTCACAGAAATGGGGTGAACAAGGACTAAGCCCCCACTAACCCGGGCACATGGACCCCAAGAGGCTCACTTGAGAGGGAGATGGAGGCGGGGTGTTCCCCCCCGGTTAGAGGAATGGCGGGAGGGTTATTGCCAGGCACGTCACAGAAATGGGGCGAACAAGGACTAAGCCCCTACTCTCGGTTTGGGCAAAGAGGGGGGTTAACCCCCCCCCCCCGATGTTGGGGGAGTTATGGGAGTTACCACCTAGTTGTGAAGCACCCCTGTGCGGTCCTCTGCAGAACCTGGAGGTGGTGTGGCTGAGCTCTGAACAGCGTCCCCTAGCCCCTGGCTGAGCACGGCTCCCTCCCTGCTGTGGTAGAGATGGGCACGCCCTTCCCACCAGATCCACCCTCATGGCCGTTCGGTGCCACTCCCTTGCTGGTGGCGATTCCCATTGTCCCATCCCTGCTGCTCAGACCTGGGCCGGGGAACAGGGGACAGCAGGGCGGCGCTGTCGTGTAGGGCACCCCCTCTGCCCGCTGTGGGGGTTCGCCCTGACGCCTCAGTGAGGCCTCCACATGCGCTGTAGGGATGGACACAGCAGCCAGGCCACAGCGAGGCAACATGGAGAGCGTGTCCCCCCCGGCCATGGTCTGCAGACGGCACAGACAATAGCCAAGGCTCTGCGCTGACCCCAAGCGCCCATGTGGGCTTTGCTCACGAGCTCTTTGCCCGGCACTGTTTGCAAGTGGCTCTGTTTTGCTGCAGCCCACAGGGGATCCGGCCTGCCAGGGAGGGAGGTGAAGAAGGGCCTGTGTCCAGGTTATCGCTCTCTGTTCCCCTGGGTGGGCTCTTCTGAGCTGGCAGGGCCCGGCAGGCTCTGTCCTTGGAGATCCAGGCTGGGAGCTGAGTCACTGAGCGAGTGGGAAGGAGGGAATGGAGCCAGAGAGAGAATCATTAACCTGCCCCACCCCAGGTAGGCAGGGGCTGAGTTTAGTGCCACCCGTCTCAGCTGACCGCCAAGCGTCCCAGCCCCGCAGCACCACCCTGGCCACTGCCCCGGGACAGGCAAGTGCCCGCTCAGTGGAGCCCTGTCATGTGATTGTCACCCAGGCAGCCAGCCAGCCCCGTGGGCTGCAGAATTCACTGGCAGAAAGAGGGAGCGGGGGCACAAGGACATGCATGTTGCCAGATTTGATCAGCTTATTGTCTAGCACACAATTTAACCGCCTGCCCCTGGCAGCGGGAGAAGCCAGTACCCTATCGCTTCGCCGGGAGGGGAACCCCCTCACCTGGCTGGCAGTACATGGGAGTGCAGTGCAGTGCATGGGGGTGTGCATCCCTTGCGTTTATTAAGGGCCCCATCCAGGAGCTCTGCCTTTGCTTAATCTGCTAATCCCTGGGCTCTCAACCTGGGGGTCACAAACCAGTGTAAGGGAGACACAGTTACCCTGCCCTTCCCATATTGCTGCTACGTGGGAGGCTGGCTGCCCAGATGGAGAAGGTTGGGAGCCAGTGCATGAATTATACCGACCTCAGATAACCTGAGCTCCTAGCCAAATCCAGCCTCAGTAACAAGCCAGGACCCCCATTCCACTGCAGACCCTGATGACGGGGGTGGGGGAATGGGGGAGGGAAGCATTCCTTCCCAACCCCCACCATCGCCTTCCCTGCCCTGGCAGTCTGGCATCTGCTCACCCGTCCAATGCTCCTATCTAGAGAAATGTTCCTGGTGGCTATCAAATGATCTAGTCTCTTTAAAAGTCCAGGCACAGAGTCCGTCTGCACGGCCAGAGCATGCTGCTGCCTTGTGCTGAGACACAGACCAGACAGGGCTGGAGCCGCTGTCCAGCCCTTGCCTTTGCTGCTGTAAATCACCACCAGCTTCGTCCCCACCCATAGCACCAGCCGTCTGGAATGAGGCACAGCCGGCCTGGTACCATCACCACCCTTCCCCCTCCCAATGTGGTCTTTCCCTTGTCTCTCCCATCCTCCTGTGGGGGTCTCTCTGTAAGGAGGTCTCTGATCTTCAGTGCAGTCCCTGGGGCTGTGGGGAAGGCAGATAGGCAGGTGAGACACGCAGGGCAGGGGGAGCAGGGGCTGAGGCAGCTGCTGGCCACTGGGAGGAGGCTGCAGGAGCGGCACCCCCTTGGGTTGGAGGCCAGGGTCAGGGTGAATACCCCACATGGGACAGGTGAAGGGTAGATTTTAACGAGCCCCTCGCTGCCATGCAGGCTGCATTGCAAAGAACAGCAGGCAGGGCTAGGTGGGAGGCAGGTGGGGCTGGACTTGGGGAGCAGGGGGACCCTAAGTTGTGGAGAAAGACAAGATCTGAAGGAAGTGCCATAAGTAGCCAATGTGGGCCCCAAATCTTCCCCAGAGCCCTGGTTGCAGGGCCAAGGCGGGAGGCTGAGTCAAAGGCTGGGTCGAGGCACATTCCTATAGTGGGCCCTACTGGCTCCGGAGGTCACACAAGACCGGGGAGGGGCACAGGGCTGCTGGAGGGAGCAGGGAGTCACCTTGGGGTCCGTGTGGGGGCTGCATAGGTATGTTCATAGCTGCTGGGCATTTGCCTTTCTCTGAAGTATCAGGAACTGGCTGCTGTTTGTGGGAGGAGAGGTAGACACGCTGGAGGGTAAGGATAGGATACAGAGGGCCCTAGACAAATTAGAGGATTGGGCCAAAAGAAATCTGATGAGGTTCAACAAGGACAAGTGCAGAGTCCCGCACTTAGGACGGAAGAATCCCATGCACCGCTACAGTCTAGGGACCCAATGGCTCGGCAGCAGTTCTGCAGAAAAGGACCTAGGGGTTACAGTGGACGAGAAGCTGGATATGAGTCAACAGTGTGCCCTTGTTGCCAAGAAGGCCAATGGCATTTTGGGATGTATACGTAGGGGCATTGCCAGCAGATCGAGGGACGTGATTGTTCCCCTCTATTCGGCATTGGTGAGGCCTCATCTGGAGTACTGTGTCCAGTTTTGGGCCCCACACTACAAGAAGGATGTGGAAAAATTGGAAAGAGTCCAGCGGAGGGCAACAAAAATGATTAGGGGACTGGAACACATGACTTATGAGGAGAGGCTGAGGGAACTGGGGATGTTTAGTCTGTGGAAGAGAAGAATGAGGGAGGATTTCATAGCTGCTTTCAACTACCTGAAAGGGGGTTCCAAAGAGGATGGATCTAGACTGTTCTCAGTGGTAGCTGTTGACAGAACGAGGAGCAATGGTCTCAAGTTGCAGTGGGGGAGGTTTAGGTTGGATATTAGGAAAACCTTTTTCACTAGGAGGGTGGTGAAGCACTGGAAGGCATTACCTAGGGAGGTGGTGGAATCTCCTTCCTTAGATATTTTTAAGGTCAGGCTTGACAAAGCCCTGGCTGAGCTGATTTAGTTGGGAATTGGTCCTGCTTTGAGCAGGGGGTTGGACTAGATGATCTCCTGAGATCCCTTCCAACCCTGATATTCTGTGATTCACCCAGAGCCCTGCGTCTATGGGTCTGACCTGGCACCCCAGCCCCTGAGCCTGGGTTTGACCTGCCTCTCATGCCCCTTCCACTAAGCTTGGGTCTGTCTCAGCACCCAAGACCCTGCTCCCACAGCCTTCCCCACCCCCGCCAGTCCCACCACTGAGCCTAGGTATTTCTCCTGGCAGTGGACAGGGCTTTGCAGACCAGAGACAGCTCAGCCGACCAGCCCTTCAGCTGCATTACCTGCGTGGATGCAGAGCCTAGAGCCTGGCAGAAGCTGCAGAGTTAAGCCTGGTTCCCGGGAGAGCTGGAGCATCCAGCAGGGAGCTGCCCCCTCCCTGGCATCTGGGGGAAGGTGACGCACAGAGGCAGCTGCAGCCCTGAATTAACCAAACAAGCGGCTCTTAACAACAGGGTTTGTTGTTCGCTGACAAGCAAAATTAGAAAGAGCGGGGCCGATCCTTCATGGTGCTGAGCACCCATTGAAACTGATGGGCCCGATCCTGCGCTGAGCCCCACCGCAGCCCCCATTGACTCCAGTGGGCCCGATCCTTCACGGTGGTGAGCCCCCACTGACTCCAATAGGTCCAGTCCTGCCTGGTGCTGAGCCCCTGAGTCCCCACGACTGATGGCCACAATCATGCATGGTGCTGAGCCCTCTCTGCCCCACTGATTCCACCAGGCCGGTCACCCTGTGAAGTGCTATCGGTTCTCCTGGGCCCAGCTGCCCGCACGTGGGCTGCAGTGTCAGGCCCCCAGTGAGAACAGAGGGGTGCCCTGCCTTGCTCCCAGACCACCTGTGGTCTTCCTTCAGCTCTCCCATCGGGGGACACACAGTGGTGGGTTCCCTAGCCTGCCTTGGTAGGAGGCTTCTCCCAGCAGTGGGGAGCCCCGGGCAAGCCGGAAGCCATCTCTTAGCACAGGGCTGGGCCCAGGGGGCCGAGTGACACACGAGGATCCGGAGTTGCGGCCTGTGGGACCAGTCCCTGCACAGGTTTCGGTGGACAGCGCAGGTCGTGCCGGTGGTGTGGGGTTCCCCCGCTCTGGGCCGTGTTGGTGACGGGGCTTCCTACACACCTGCTCTGAGATTGAGGGGCCAGCGATCAGGAGTCCAGCCTGGGCTGTGGCTAGGTGGCCAGGGCATGTGATGCTCAGCCTTGCTTCTCCCGGTGCAGCAGTACCCCCCCTGAGGGGTCCCTGCCCCGCATCCTGGGACGGGACACCCAGTGTTACTCTGCAGCTGCGGGGGGCCAGCGTCTCCCCATGGGGCCCCTCCTGAGAGCTCATTGGTCTCCCTCCCTGCTTCCCCAGGTGTGGCCGAGCAGTTTGCCATTGCCGAAGCCAAGCTGAAAGCCTGGTCTTCCATGGACGGGGAAGACTCCAACGACGAATCCTACGACGAGGACTTCGGGACAAACACCAACAGCACCCAGCCAGCTGGTGAGTGAGCAGGAGGCATTACCCACATCCGTGGGGACCCAAGGGCCCCCACCTACAGACTCTGGGGAGCAGGAGGCCCCACGCATGTCAGGCAGTGGGGCAGGGGCTCCCCACCTGTGTCACGTGCCAGAGCAGGGCCTACCTCCACGCCCCCCAGGGGAGACGTGGGGGGGGCTCTGGGGCCTCTGGGTGCCAAGCTGGACCGAGTAGATCTGTGTGGGTTAGTGCCAGACACCGTGGGGCCGACCCCTGGCCAGTAGGTAACTAAATATAGATACCCCCTGTCACGGAGTGTGGGGGAGTCCAGGCCCTGCACCCCTCTTCCTGGGATTCACTGAGACTCTCAGCCAGCCAGTAAAACAGAAGGTTTATTGGACAACAGGAACACAGTCCAAAATAGAGGTTGTGGGTACAACCTGGACCCCTCAGTCAAGTCCTTCTGGGGGAGCAGGGAGCTTAGACCCCAGCCCTGGGGTTCCCTGCGCTCCTCCACCCAGCCCCAAACTGAAACTAACCCCCCCCAGCAGGCTCCCTCCTGCAGCCTCTGTTCACATTCCTGGGCAGACCCTCCTGGCTCAGGTTACAGGCTCTCAGGTCTCCCATCCCCAGGGCACATTCCCAGGTCAACACTCCCCCCTCCCTGCTGCGTCACACCCCCTTTACAGAGATGGGGAAACTGAGGCAGGGAGCCCAAGGCCTTGAGTCAGTGGCAAAATCAGGGATAGATCTCTACAACTCAGCTCCTGGGCCTTCACCTAGCCCCCAGCACCCGTTTCATACCCACAGACTGACGCTGCTATTTCCTAGGCCAGGGGCGCCTCAGGGTCTGCTGGGTCTGCAGTGACCAGAGCTTAACGCCTCATTCCCAGGGAGGGCGCACTGTACCGCTGGGGGCTCTTCCGATCGGCGCGCTTTGTGCTTTGCAGGCGAGCCGAGGGGATGGCGCTGAGATGTGGTGGACCGAGCATGTCGTGCGTCATTCCCACTCGAATCGCCCTTGTGGCCTTGCAGAGTGTTTGTGAGCGGGAGCTGAGTAAAGCAGGGAGAGCTGGGTTGGGTGCGCATTCGGCACATGGGGAGCAAGGAGAAAAGCATGCAGGCAATGGGCCATGGAGGCCAGTCCCAGGGCTGGGTGCCGAAGGAGCCCCTTCCAGCCACACACTGGGCTTGTCTTACGGCCGGCTGCTGTGCACAGGGCAGGGGCTTATCGAACCGGCCAGGCGACGCCCAGGTCCCTCCCCTGAGAGCGCCAGGCGGTGCTGAGTGGTTCCCCTTCCAAAGCACCAGCGCTAGGCGTGCCCTGCCAGGGCGCTGCCTGCTCTCCTGGCTCCGCCAGGGCCCGAAGACATTCTCCACAGCCTTCTGCAGCTGGCTAGATACGTATGTCTCCCCGGCCCATGTAGCTGCCTCACTGCTCCCCCCTTTTCCAGGTCATTCATTCGAGCCTGGTCCCCCTGCAAACCTTGGGCCATGCTGCAAGTTGGCCATTGACTCCTCTTTGCCTTCTGCCCCACCGCTTGTGTCTCTCAGGCACCGCACCTCACCTCTCCCCCCTCTTGTGAGCAGTGGGGACCAGCGCCTGCACAGGTCTCAGTGGGCAGCGCAGGGCCTGCCAGTGCTCCCCCCTTTCCGAGGCTCTGCGGGGGGCCAGCCTGAGAGGGACCCCAGGGCACGTCCCCTACATCAGCCCCTGCCGCTGTGGCAAACAAGAAGGAAGGAGAGGCCAATGCACGTGTCCTCTCCAGGCGTGTAATCCGTGTCCTGTGCAAACAAAGGTGCTTTCTCACAGTCATTAGATGCCCACTAATCTCGGGCAATTTGCATATCAAAGGCAGTCAGCAATAATCTGCCCACACTCCATCCAGAGAAGGGTCTAATTGCTCTTCTGTAATTAGAGGCAAAGTGGAAGAGCTGGCGGATGGGCGCCCGCCCCTGATTGGGTTTGTGGGCATGGAACGGCACCACGGGCATTGGTCCCGTGGCACCCTCCCCCACTGCTGCTCTGACATGCCCCCAACCCCTGGGCATACTGACATGCTGCATTCCCTGGGAGGGACCCTGGCTGGGGCGCATCCTTCCCGGGGGGTTGGGGCTCTGAGCCTCAACAGATGGCGGCTTGTGGGAGAGGGAGCAACCCACTGATTACTGCTGCAGCCCCAATGTCCAAACTCGTTGCAATTTCATGTGTTAGAATCAAACGTTTAGAAGGATTTTTTTACAAAGTCCCTGGTTGGATTTTCAGGAGCAGGGAGGGTGAGAGGGTGGCATGGCTGGGGAGCGGGCTCTGAGAATGCTGGCGAACGTTAGGCACAGTATGGAAAGAGGCCTCCCCGCACACGGCTCTGCCCGTGCCACTCAATCCCGACTCCCTGAGCTCCGCACACACAGCTCTGCCGGTGCCCCTCGGTCCCGACCCCCAGAGCCCCTGAGCTCTGAGAGTGCTGCTGTGGGGTGACCTGGCACAAAGCCCCCCAGGACATGTGTGTCAGAGCAAGTGCTGTGACCTGCCCCCTCGCTCCTGGGCATGGCCTCCCCCGAAGGGGCCTTCCAAGCTGCCTCTCCCTGGGGCCAGTCAGGCGTCACTGAGCTGCCCAAAAGGGTGCAGGGCCAATCCAGAGGGGTGGAGAGAGCCAGGCAGAGGCTACAGGGGCAAGAGAAGGGGAGTCTCTGCGCTGGGCAAGCTGCAGGGCCTCTTGCCAAGTGAGCCGAAATACCCCTCCGCTCAGAGGGTCTGATTTGCAGATCCCCTGAGGCACCCAGCTAAGGGCCAGGGTTTCCGACATGCCCCACAGCTCTCATGGGGACGCTCATGGGCAGATTTCCCGAGGGTCTGTGCACCCAGCATGCTGGGCACTGCACAGAACCTGGACCGTAGTCCTTGCAGGTGAGCAGGGCTTTGGCTCGGGTCAGAGGCTGCCCAGGAGCACAGCACTCACTGGGGCTTAAAGGCATGGGCCCTGTGGGGCTAGGGTCCAGCCCTGCCTCTAGCCCATGCTCAGGTCCTTGGGATGTGTTTGTTTCTGTTTAACCAGTTTATTTGAGCATAAGCTTTCGTGAGCTATAAACACCCATTTTTTCATGGTCTGTGTGTATAAAAACATCTTCTGTATTTTCCACAGTATGCATCCGGTGAAGTGAGCTGTAGCTCACGAAAATTTATGCTCAAATAAATGGGTTAGTCTCTAAGGTGCCACAAGTCCTCCTTTTCTTTTTGCGAATACAGACTAACACGGCTGCTACTCTGAAACCTTTGTTTCTGTTGCGTTTCCTTGAGTCACCCTTTTCCACAAGTTGCTTCCCAGGGGCTGGGCCTGTGGCATTATTCTAGCCATTGCGGGATCTCCAAAGGCCTCCCCCGAAGAGATCAGCCCAGCCCAGCCCTGGCTTGGGTCAGCCATAATGCTGTCACTTCCTGGCTCCCCACCCTTCATGTTCCCAGTGACACAGCTACGTGGCTGGATGCACACAGCTGCCAGCAGCCCCATCTGTCCGGGGCGACTGCTGGCCTGGTCAATGTCCTGGGTGCATGATGAGCTGCTCGTGTCCTGGCCACAGCTCCCTCCCTCACCCATCCCTTGGCTGCAGCTGGTATCGCATCTCAGCTGTTCGCAATGGGGCTGCAGGCAGCTCTTGTTGAGAGACAGAGGCAGCCAGGCTGGAGCAGGGGAGGGCGTCTCTAAAGCTAATGGGAGAGGAGGTGCAGTGCATGGGACAGAAAGCTCCCTCCCTGGGGGCCATGTGGGGAGGGGGAGTGAAAGGGCCGGGGGAAGCAGCCAAGGTGGGGGGAAAGACCCGCTTTAATCCACTTCTGCCCAGCAGCAAGGATTCTCCCCTTGGGCACATGCAGGAGGCCTGGCACTGCCTAGCCGGCTGCCAGGATACTCCCCCGCCCGGTGCTGTGGGGAGAGAGGGAGGCCAGGCCGGGAGGGGGAAACCGTGCTGCTGAAGCCAGGTCCCCCCTTGTGTGTTGCAGATGCTGCAGGCCACCTGCCGCCCGGCTCCTTCCTGAAGGATCTCCTCCGCAGCCACCCGTGCCAGCTCAGCGTCCGGCAGGGCTCCTGCGAGCCCGAGAGCGACTCCTCCCAGACCATCTCCCCGGAGACCTTGTGCTCCAGTCTCTGCAGCCTGGAGGACAGCCTGCTGCTCAAGGAGCTGGGCTCGCCGGGCGAACTGGCCGCCAAACTGCTGGGCTCCATGGCCGGAGGGGAGGAGATGCTTCTCTCCAAGCTGCCCCCTCAGACTGGAGAAAGTGCCTTCCAGAGCCTAGGACAGCTGGAGTGCCAGGACTCCCTGTACTCCATGTCCTGCACGGAGTCCTGCCTCTCGCCCACGGGAGACGACAGCCTGTCCTGCAAGGACGACCACACGGCATGCCCACTGCACGGGGACAGCTGCGGGGTTCGGAGGAAAGTCTCCGACGTGGCCTCTTCGGGGGTGGTGTCACTGGATGAGGAGGAGGAGGCTGAAGAGCAGTGAACTGGTCTTGGTCTGTGGCATGCTTCACCTGCCATTTCTGTCCCACTCCGTGACACCCCCGCCCCCCTCCGGGCCCCGTTCCCTGTTCTTCTTGTGGGCGAGTCCTGTTTGGGGTTGGCGTGAGCCTTAGCCGGGCAGAGGAGGATGGTGGAAGGAAAATCCAGCCCCCCCACTGGCGGAGACTGGTGAAGCCTGAGGCCTCGCGGCCGGCCACCGGATGGATTTGCTTGCTGCGTCTCTCTCTCTCTCCCCCCTCGTCTGTTTTTTTGCATGAGAGTGTTTTGGGGATAACCAAAAGCCCTGAATTGGAGCCAACTGGACGTGACGCCATCTGAGACGGTTCTGAGCATGTTCTGCACCCCACCTCCGAACCCCTAGGGAGGCGCCTTTCGCTGTCGGGGGGCCTGGCTAGTGCTGTTAAAGCAACACGTGTACGTTCCTAACGAAGAGTAAACCCCCTGCTCCGGCCCCCCAAGCCCCGGCTCAGAGCACTGTGTTGGGCTGCTCTGCACTTGACTTGGGAGGCCGTTTTTCAACCCTTTGGCACAAACCAGCTCTTTGCTTTTATTGTACTGGGTTTTATATCGTGAATCGACTCAAGGAGACGGCCGAGGGCAGAGCAGGTTTGTCGGGACGGAGCTGGACAGGAATCGCCATCTCTGCCGGGACAAGGGGGCACGGTCTGAGTTGGTGGGAGCGCGAGAGCAGATCTTTTTCTATATTTTTGTATGTTGTCTCTGTGTGGCCCTGGCCGGGAATGTTGGGGGACGCTCCAGGGTGACATGGTGCAGGGATTGGTACCACCCCAGGCTTGGCAATTAAGTATTAACTTCCCCATTGGACATCTTGGCCTCCGGAGAGCTGCCGTCTTGGGCTGGGCAGTGGGTAGAGCTCACGTTCCCCTTGCTGGAGTAATTTCGAATGATCCCAGGGATACTTTCTGCATGCACAGACACGGGCATGCACCTGTGGTCCCACGTGTGTGCACACAAATGCACACAGACCCCCCCCACGTGCGCATGCACATGCCCCCCACCCCCACTGTTCATGAGGGTGCTCAGCATTTTACAACCCCCATTCCTGCCTTGGAGAGCTGACCCTCTGCTCCGAGCCCCAGTGAAGCTTGGGCTGGGGTGAGATCCAGCCCTGCCCCCAGGTCTGAGTTGGGGGCTGGATCCAAATGGGCTGTTTTCTGGTTCGGCCATGGCCGTGGGATTTCATGCAAAGCCTCGCCCCCAGCTTGGGATCAAACCTAGCCCCTAATGCCCGCCCCAAATCCAGCCCTGGAGCTGACTGCCAGCCCTTGGGTCTGCCGGGGGCGCACACGCAGATCTGAGCGCACACAACAATGCCAAGCGCCTGCCACAGGCCAGTGGGAAACAAAACCCAAGTCCCAGCTGTGGTGAGTGCCACAGGTTCCTGTCCCTCTAGCTGAGGTGGGAGCCCCCTCCCCTCCGGCAGGGGGGCTGTGGCTGGCTCCTGGCAGCTGCCGCTTTCGGCCTTACGGTTCAGGAATGCTGAGCCTGGCACCCAGTGGAAATGCAGGGGCCCGGCGGGATCTCAGCCTCGCCCTGCAGGTTCTCCCTTGCTGTCGTGGCTGTGACGGCCCCATAGCATTTGCCGCCCCATGTCAGGCTGTAGCTCCAACGAGTCGGCAGGCACCAGCCCCTGATGTTTGAGAGGCGCGGGGGGGCTGGGCTGGGTGCGTGGACTATGACTCACGTCTGTGCTCCTTCACTCAGGCGCTAAATGGTGCCACGTGTGACCCTGGGAGATCTTGGGCATCGGAGCCCCTGCACTGTGCGTGTGCCCACAGCCTGGGGAGACAGCCGGGCGAGGTGGGGGGGGGGAGAACGTGGCAGCCACCCCCAAACTGGGCTTGTTCATGGTTAAGGGATCCTGCAGCTTTAAGGGTCCTGCTTGGCTGCTAGCTGGTGCTCACAGGTAGGGCCCTGATGGGGAGCTGGCTAGGAAGGGACGGCAGCGCCCCTGGGCCTGTGTGGGTGCCCAAGGGGAAGGGGGGGGCTGGACCATGCCTTGCAGGGGCAGCACCCAGGCACTGCCAGCTGGAGCAAGACTGGCTGGGTGCTGATGGGGCTGCTCGCCCTGCATTGCTCCCAGCAGTGATTCCCAGGGACAGGGCAGGGCCCCAAGCAAGGGGACTACCTTGGGCAGCGAGAGCTGCAGCTTCTGCCCCTTCTGCTCTAGCCAACCCCCGGGCCATAGGGAGCCCTAGCACCCATGGCCAGCCTGGGCGGGCCCAGGCCCTGGTGTGCTTGGCCTGGCCACTCTTCCCACCCCCCATGCTATGGCCTCCCCCATGCACCCAATGGCTTGTGTCCATCCCCCCTCACTATAAGCTATGACTTGTCCCATCCCTCCCCCCCCACTGGCTCGTTCCACCCTCCTACAGGTACACAATGGTCTGTCATTCCCTCCCACCATGGCCTTCCCCATGCATCCAATGGCTTGTGTCCCCCCCAAGCTATGACTTGTCCCATCCCCCCTGCCTGTTCCACCCACCCACCCACACAGACACAGTGGCCTGTCATTTCCCCCTCCCGCCCCCCCACTCTATGGCCTTCCCCAATGGCTTGTGTCCCCCCTGCCCCCACACACAATGGCCTGTCCCCTGTCCCCGCTTCACAGTGGCTTGTTTCCACCTCTCACACACAAAATTGCCTGCCCCCCCCCACTGTAGCCTGTTCCCTCCCTAGCCCCACCACTGACCTGTCCAGTTCCCCCCGACACACACTCTATGGGCGGTTTCCCTCTCCCGCCCCCGGCACACACAATGGCTTGTCTCCCCCCCAGTGCCGGATTGCACCCTGGCCAGTTCCACTGTCAGCTACGTTATGTTTACCAATGCAATTCATTAAAGCAACGGGTGGGCCGTGAGCGTTGCTGCCTGGCTGCCGTGGGACCCTCTCCTCCCCAGTCCCCGATCTCCCCCGACACTTCACACTGCCCGGCAGTCCCCAAATGTGCCAAACACTCCTCCTGCAGGAGCCAGTGCGGGACCTGGGTGCAGGGAGCCCCTAGGGTATGAGGCAGCCTGGGGCCCCTGTGCTGCCCCCCAGGTCCCCAGAGCTCCCAGCAGGGCCTGCCCCCTCCTGCTTTATTGAAATTCAACCAGCTGATCAAGTGCCTAAACTAGGGTTCAGGCCCGGCTTGTGGAGCTCCTGAGGAACTGACTCTGGGCAAGGGGAGGTTGCATCTGACCCCGGGGCTCGGCCCGCTCCCCAACCTGGCTCTCGAGCAGCCAGTCCGTGCCTGCACCTTGGCAGAGCGTCTGCCTGCCTCAGAGATGCCTGCTGGATGCTGAGTAGCACCGGGCATTGCCCGGGACTGCCCCAGTCTCTGGCCAGTGCGTCTGCTCATGGCCCGGGATGGGGAGTGAATGGGGGTCAAGCTGTCACCGTCTCCCTGCAGAGAACCGGGGATGTGGGAGGGTGTTAGCAAGCTCTTGGGCCAGAGAGTCAGTGTCCGGGGTCCAGGGATGGATCCCAGGGCACTGGGACACGTTGTGCTGGGAAGCTGCCTGACCCAGGGAGGCGGGGGGTGCCATTGTCCCGTCTAGGCCATGGGCCTGAGGAGGAAACGTGCCCCTGATTGGAGGGCTGATGCTGCTCCCCGAAGGCAGCAGTGACTTTCCAGCCGGGTGACATAAGGCCAAACCTGCTTCCGCCAGCGGGCACGTGCCTTGCTCACAGCCCAGGGGCAGGCAACGGGGCCTGAGGGCTTGGGGACGGTGTCCCAGAATGGCTGGCACAGGCTTAGCGCTTGCAGTGACCTTGTAGCAGACAGCAAGGGGACATGGAATCAGGTTTTCTCCACTGTGCCTGGTGGTTTGTTATCGTAGGGTCGCACGAGTGCTGTGGGCTGTGCATGCTGCTGTATTATTACAGGGTTGCTTGAGAGCACTGGACCACGCATGCTGTTTTGTTATTGTAGGGTTGCTGACAAGTGCTGGGCTGAGCATGCTGGCTTGTTATTGTAGGGTTGCTTGCACAAGGTCTGAGTCAAAGCCCTTTGAAGACATTGGAAAGCCTCCCCTGGCTCCCCCAGGCTGTGGATTGGGCCCAGAGGCGAGCACGAGCGAGCTCTGTGCCTTCTCTGGATTGCTCGCCTGCGAGCCCCGGACCCTGCACCCCTGACGGGCTGGGCTGGAAGCTTCTCCCCAGGCCCTGGTGCCTGAGCCAGCCTGAGTGGGTGGCACGGTGGGCTACTAGATCTAAATGCTCGGGGGGGAGGTGGTTCTCGCTGGGCAGGGGGAGCAACTGGCTCTTTTAACTCGGCCAGGGAACCCCAGGATTTGGGGGAGGAAGGGGAAGCTGACCTGCTCCTCCCCAACCCTCTGCCACGGACCCCTTCAATCTTCCCTCCCATTCAGGCTAAGGTCTATATGGGCCCTGGGCAGCAGTCTCTCCTGGGGCACTCCCCACCCCACGTTTCCCCACATAGCCCAGGCCCCACTGTGCCCCACCCCGGCAGTGCCCACACGCCGCTCCCCACCGCTGTTGTCGGGCAGCCCCCCGAGCAATGAGTCTGAGTCTGGTCCCAGCAGGGAGCAGGTGTTTGCACACCCCCCCCCCGGCCCGTGCCCTCACACCATGGACTCTGGCCCCCTTGCTGATAGGCTGTGGGCTCCCCACCCTCTAAGGGACTGAAGCCTCCCTCGCTCTGGGAGACACTGGCAGGTGGGCTCCCCCGGACACACAGATGGGCACTACCTGCAAGGTCTGAAACGCCCCTTCCCCCAGGAACATAAGGCAGCTCCGCCAGCCCCTGCTCCCTGCTTGGAGTGGGCGACAGTGGCCCTGTGCCAGCGTGCCGGAGACTCGGCCGTCAGAGGGGCAGCTCCCAGCTGCAGCCGTGGGGCAGAGGTGGTGGGAGACCATGCTGGTTGTTAGCCCCTCCCGTCCGAGAGACTCTGGGCACATTCACAAACACTCCCATGTTAACCCCGCCCATGCCCAGGGCGTGGGCATCACCCCTTTATGACAGCTGGGGAAACAGAGGCCCGGGGAGGGGACGGCCCAGATCCTTAAAGGTATTTAGTCACTGAATGCCCATTGAGTTCAATGGGAGTTAGTCTCCTTCATATCCTTGCTGATCGGTGCTGAAGTGGCTTGCCCAAATGAGGAAAAGAACCCAGGAGTCCTGACCCCCAGACATCTGCCCTACCCATTGTAGCACGCTCTCTCCTAAGGAGCCTGGCTCACTGAGGGGCTGCCCGACACCCCAGAGAACCTAATAACGCAGCATCTGGAAGGGGAAAGGCAACTAGGAGGGGGTGGTTAGCAGCGCTGGGCAATTGCTAGTCCCTGGGCCTTCCCCAACCTGTGGCAGGAGCGGGTGACTCCGATTGCACTTCACCAGAAGGGGCTATGCAGGCATGTGGCCGCGTGGTGTGCGTACATGTGTGCTTGTGTTGCCCACATACAGGTGGGTGTGTGTGCACACGCATGTGAGAGGTGGGCATGTGCATAGGCACATGGATGTGAGGGGAGATGTGTATGTGCCGGGAGGTGAGGTGTGGGTGTCCATGTCCATGCACAAATGTGGGGGGGGGGTGCGCGTGTGTGTGTTGCACAGGTCTGAGGGGAGATGTGTGCATGCACACTGCTGTGAGGGATGTGTGTGTGTGTGTATGAGGGGGAGGAGGTGTGACCACACATGATGTGAGGGGAGGGATGTGTGTGTTCACACAGATGTGATGGGAGGGGTGTGTGTAGTCAGTGATGTGAGGGGAGGGGTGTGTGCATGCACACGGCTGTGAGGGGAAGGGGGTGTGTACACACACAGTTGTGATGGGAGGAGTGTGTGTACTCACCGATGTGAGGGGAGGGATGTGTGTATTCACACAGATGTGATGGGAGGGGTGTGTGTACTCATCAATGTGAGGGGAGGGATGTGTGTATTCACACAGATGTGATGGGAGGGGTGTGTGTACTCACCGATGTGAGGGGAGGGATGTGTGTATTCACACAGATGTGATGGGAGGGGTGTGTGTACTCACTGATGTGAGGGGAGGGATGTGTGTATTCACACACGGATGTGCTGGGCAGAGTGTGTAGTGGGGCAGCAGGCTGGGAGTGGGGAGGAGTGTCCCATGGACCCTGTCTTGGTCCCCAGGAGCCAACCCCGGGGCCGCGTGGCCTCGCACTGTGCTTGGGGACCGTGAGCCACCGGCCTGGCCCTGTGGCTGCTGAGAGCCGCTCTCTGTTGTCCTGTGTCCCAGCTGCCTGTGGCCGTCCTGCCAGGCCTTGAATAAAACAAGTCTTGTTACTGCAGTGCCATGTGGGCGCGTCCTTGGTGGGTCTCATCCACTTCCCTCCATGGGCACCTTGCGTTCCCCAGGGGCCCGACCCCGGCGGGGACAATGGCCAGCAGGGGCCAGGGTGACCACCTCTGAGCGGGCCGGATCTCGAGGGAATGGCATCCCAGGGTCCTGCCTTCTGCGCCATAGGGTCCTGCTGAAGTACCCCAACCATGGCCAGTCCTGCCCAAGAGTCCCCCTCCCTGCTCCAAAGGGGATCCAGCCCCTTCTCCATCCCCGGGGGCTGCGGTGGCCATGGTGATGCTGGCCCCCCCCACTCTCCACATGCACGCGGCCCTGCCAGGCGCTATCTGGGAACAGGGCCGCCTTATCTCGCATTCCAGGGGCCGGTGCCATCGGACACCTTGCTAATTATGGGCATCTCCAGGCTCTGGCCGCCTTCCCGCCCCTCCCCTCGCTCCCTCTCCCAGCAGTGACCCACCCGTCTCCTCCGCGGGCCGGCACCAGTGCCATGGCGTCCGTCAGCTCGTCCTCCACCTATCGCTCGGAGCGGATCAGCACCTACAGCCAGAACGCGCCCCCTGCCGAGCCCTGCTTCGAGCCCCGCGGGCGCTTTGGGGAGGAGGGGGACAGGAGCTCCCTGCGCCACGGCCCCTTCGCCGCGCGGGCCCGGGACTCTTATGGATACACAGGTGGGGGCCATGGGTGTGGGGGGACCCAACCCCGCACATGCCTCAGGGTGCTATAGCCACTGCTTGCACAGGGGCAGGACGGTGGGGAGGGGCTCGTGGGCCAAAGAAGGTGAGAGCCTACTACTGCTACCAGCTCCCGGAATCCCTCCTGTTGGGCGAGTGGGCGAGGCCTGTGCTTTCAGCGCTATGGTGCTGGTTCAAAGCCCCTGACCACCCAGGCAGGTCCTTGCCTTTACACCCAGGGAGGGGAGGGAGATGCAGCCCCCATGGGGTGTGGGGTGGCCAGTCAGCCTCTGCAATCCCCAGAGGCCCAGGGTTGTGCTCACCCTTTGGGGTGAGGGTTCTTCATCCCATGCCCCCCTTCCAGGCCCCCCCCAGCTTGTTAGCCAACCCCTCCACACTCAATCCTCCCATCCCCCACTAGCCTGACCCCCACCCCAGCAATCATGCCTCCCCCCCCCCCCCGCTAGCCAGATCCCCTTCCAGCCCCTGGCTTGCCAGCTAGATCCCACCCCCATCAATCCTCTGATCTCCCAGTACTCAGACCCCCCCCTTTCAACAACCTCCCCCGACCCTGGCTTGCTAGTCAAATGCCCCCTTGAGTCAGCCCTGACTGCCAGCAGACCCCCTACCAAAAGCCAGAGAGCCCCATGAGCAGGCAGCCCCTCCCCCATGCCTGCTCTACAAATAGCCTGGGTGTCCTGAGCAAAATCAAGGGACCCCCCCCCCCCCGCTGCAAAGGCACCTCGGGGTGACAGACCCAGTCAGCACCGGCCACACTCGCTGCACCAGCAGTCCACCATGGGAGGCGGCAGCTTGGCTTTCCCCCTGCCTGCCGGGTGCCAGCCCCCGCCTGCCCCCCCCCACTGCCCCCCGACACCCCACTGTGACCCCTCCCATAGCTCCTACTGACACCCCCACGGCTCGCCAGGCCGTCTCCGCACCTGCCACACGGTGCAGCCCCCGGGCCTCTGTTGGCTCCTGGGGCCTCATCCCTCCCCCTCACTGCCCCGCTCCGTGCAGGGTCTCCGGGCTCCGTGCGCCCCTGCAGCCTGGGCAGCAACGTGCGAGCCGGGGGCGACACGTACCAGGTGACGGCCGACGTGAGCCAGTTCGAGCCGCAGGACGTGGTGGTGACCACGTACAACTACCACATCATCATCCAGGCCGAGAAGGTGAGGAGCTGGGGTCGGGGGGAGCGAACAAGGCACGGCGGGAATGGGGTGGCTGGGACAGGAGCAGGGAGCTGCCCGCTGCCCCCACGCCTGCCCCAGTCCCTATGGCGCCCCCTCCTGGGAGAGGCGGGGCTGAACGGGGCTGTGCTCAGCAGGAACGTGGCTCGTACCCGCGCTCACGGGGTGTTTGTGTCCCTGGTAGGTGGCAGAGGACGGCACCGTCTCCAACACGTTCACCCACAGGTGCCAGCTCCCCGAGGACATGGACCCCCTGTCTGTCAGCTGTGCCCTCACCGACGCGGGCCTGCTGGTCATCAAGGCCAAGCGGGGCGTGGCTGCCAAGGCGGGCGAGATGCCCCTGCCGCTGTACCGCACCGAGGTCCAGCTGTGAAGCCCCTGGGCACATCACCTGCCCCCCCCACCCCGCAACCTGACAGATGAGCTGGGCAGGTGACCCACCACCCCGCCCGGCCACATGTGTCGAGGGCGGGGGCAGCTGGCGGGGCCCAGCATGCCCCGGGGTAAGGCAGGCTGGCTCAGTAGGCAGCCGGGCAGGCTGGGACCACGGGCTCCATGGGCCTGCCCGGCTGCATGGCTGGGGCACGCACGCTGCTCCTGGCGTGCGAAGGGCTGCCCTGGGCCAGGCTGAGCCAGTCACTCACCCAAGCCCGTTGCACTGGGGCTCCCTGGGCCTGGCGCCGTCCTGTGTGGGGGCCCGTGCTACTGGCTCCCAGCACCTGGCTGGTGGCTCACCCCGGCTCCTGTTTGGAATAAAGGTTTCTCCCACACATGGCTGTGTCTGGGCCATTCCTCGCGGCCTGCGGCTTGCCCCAGCCCCCCCACTCTGGGCGCTCACCCTCCCCTTGGTACAACACAGCAGCCTCCTCTGCTGGTGACGCATGTCTCAGCCCCTTACCCCGACTCGCCAGGACCCTGCATCCTCCCCCCCCCCCCCCCCCCCCCCCCCCCGTGCGCTCTGGCTGCTCCCTGAACCCACTGCTGGCTGCAGAGCTGCCTCCAGGGTGGTGCCGGCCCAGGGAGCGGGGCCAGCCGGCATGGGGAGCTCCCCACCCCAGGGCCAGCGCCAGCGGGGCTCCCCCGGTGGGGAGCACACAGGCTCCTCGTTTGGCAGTGAAGGGACAGGGAGACCCAATTCACAGCAGCGTGGGGAAGGCCAGGCCTGTTGCCAACCTTCCCACCCGCCAAGCCCACCCGGCCCCCAGCTGTTTCGGTGCAGCAGCTCCCTCCACTGGCTGGTTGGGGTAGGAGCGGCATGCAGGCCCACCCCCCCCCCCGCTGGTCCCCTTTGCAGTTGCAAGGCTGCTGAGCAAAATCAGCTGGTGCCAGGCTGTAGCAATGTGCCCCACCCCCCAGCCCAGGTGCATCAGAGGTGCCTGGCATGCAGCAGCCGCTCGTTGAGTTACTTTATTGCTCTATTTATAAAGTCCTTTTATTAAATTAATATAAAAATCTCTGTATTTACATCCTGGCCCGCGCAAGGCCCAGAGAGACCCGGTCGCTGCCCGCCCCCGGCTCCGAGCCCCTGGGACCCTGCCCAGGGCCAGGCAAGAGCAGCCATGCTGGGGAGGGGGGCTCAGTGAGACTGGGGGGGTTGGGGGGGAAGTGCTTGTGCTGTTCACCCTGGGCTCCAAGCCAAACTCACCTCTGGCCTCGGTTAAGCCCAGCTGCCCTCTCCCCACTGCGCCCTTGCCCCGTACCACAAACCACCCCCAGAGGTAGCATGGTTGACGGACTCGACGGGAGATTGACTAGCGAGGGGGGGGCCTGCGGCTCAGGACTGAGGAGCACCGGCAGGTCGAGCCAAGGGGGAGGGCTGTGGGTTGGGATTCAGGGGCACTGGCAGAGCTGGGTGGGGGGCAGAGCCCGTGGCAGGTGTAACCAGGGGAGGGGAGCAGCTGTGGGTCAGGATTCAGGGGCACTGGCTGAGCTGGGGCTGGAGGGCCCGGGGGTGAGACAGTTGCAGAGTCGGGGGCGGGGGGATTAGCCCTCAGTGCTGTTTGGGGACCAAGGGGCCCCTGGCAGCGGGGGGTGGTGCTGGATACGGCCTTCTGCCCCCAGGAGCCCCGCGCCAGCTGCCCAGAGAACCTCGCATGCGGAGCCCGGGGGCTGGACTTGGTTCACCCTTCCTCTTCACCACACGGGGGCTGCCGGGGCAGCTCCGGGGGCAGGGCTGACGGCAGTGGCTTGCTGGGGCTCCGGCTCCGGCTGGCAGTGCAGGGTGCCAGGCCTGCAGGCTCCAAGGTGCAACGGCACCGGTGCCACCGTCGCGGGGGCTGGCGGTGTCTGTCGTGTCCATCAGCAGCCGGGGCGGGCTCTACCCGCCGGCCCCGCCCCTCACGGGCTCTTCTCGTCCGTCTCGGCGGGGCTGGACTCGCGGGGGATGGAGAGGCGCCGACACCGGTCCCACAGCTGGCGGACGTCCGCGGCCTCCACCTCGCTGCTGCTGGCAGTGCTGTCCCGGAAGCTGGCCAGGGGCGGCCGGACCTTCACGCCCTTGGCAGTGACTGAGCCCTCGATGGCCTTGCGCAGCTGGGGGCAGAGAAGGCTCAGCCACGTGGCATGAGGAACTCTCCCCGCCCATGTCCCCAGCTGCATGAGGGCACCTGGGGCCCTTCTCCCCCACCCCCAGCTGCAGGAAGCACAGGGGAGCGGTGTGCAGGAGGGTCTCCAGAGACACCCTCCCCGGAGATTGGTGGCACCCTATGCTCCTGGGCTCAGGGTGGGGGGAAGGCACCATTGCTCACCCCCCAGGAGGGCTCAGGGGTTCTGTTCCTGCCTCCATGTGATGAGTCCCATAGGGCTGATTCCCCCCTCTCCCGGGGTGTTTGGGAGGTACCCCAGGACCTGCTCACCTCTTTGAGGGACACCATGCCAACGAGGCGCCCAATGCTGGTCACATACGCGTGGTCCACGCCCAGGAGCGAGAAGATGGTGTGAGTCTGCAACAGAGACGGGGCTCAGGGTCTGCGGGGCGGGGAGCTGGCCAGGCTCCACTGGGGCTTGGGGCCTACAGGGCTGGGAGAGCCAGAGGGGACCCCGCACTGGGGGAGTCTGCTGAGACGCAGCCCTACGCACACTGCAGAGGATATGGGGGGTGGATCTGCAGAGTTCAGAGCTGAACCAGCCATGCCAACATGGGGAAGGGGCAATATTGATGAGCCCGGGGAGCCAGGCCCCAGGGCAGAGGACACCAGATGGGGAGCTGGGCTCAGGCTGTCAATGCACCCCTGTGCTGTGCACATGCAGCCAGCTGCCGGGCGCCCCAAGGAGCACGGGACCCCTGCCCACCCCACCTTGTGCAGGGAGGTGCTCTCCACCAGCTGGAAGGGAGCAGGGTCGATCTTGCTGTTGTTGAAGTTCACGGGCTGGTCCAGCTGCTGCTTCTCCCACTCCATGATCTGAAAGGCAGAGGGGCTGTGAGCGCCAGAGACGGGGGGAGAGGCAGGGTGGGCCTCAACAGATGGGCAGGGCAGTCCAAAGCCCAGTGCTCTCCCAATGCTCCACCTGCAGCCCCATGCCCTGCCCAAGGGGGGGGGCGTGGGGGGGAAGGGAGGGCACTGCCTGGCTCAGGGCCAAGGAACAGGACACACGGAGGTGACAGTTTTGATCCAGGCCCAGGACCGGGGGACTGGCTGGATATGGCCGGCAAGGAATCGGACATGCAGCCTTTCCCCCTAGAGGACGCTGGCTCCGATCTGGCTCCAGGGTGGAGGACTGGCCGGCTCAGGGGATGGGGAATGGGACGCCCCCACTAGGGGGAGATGGCTTGGATCCAGCCCACCGGGAGCAGGCCCCATTGGTTACCGGGGGTTGCGTGCCCAGCTCGACAGCCCCCCAGCGGGTGCCCGACTGTCACTCCCTGGCCCCGCTCAGCACAAGGCCAAGGCTGCATGGGCCCATGGGCAGAGCCTCCTCGCCCTCAGCTGCACGGGGCAGCGGGCTCCCCTGGCGGGAGCGGGCATCCCGGCCATGCTGCCTGTGGCCCAGCAGGGTGGTGCATGCGGCTCCCCCCGAGCTGCGGGGGCTGTTCGAGCCCAGCCCTGCCATCAGCCGCTGCCGCAGTGGGACCTGCCTCCTCTGCCTGGCACATGCACAGAAGCCCCGCAGCCTCGCCCCACACCTGGGGGGCTCCGCCTCCCCTCCCCAGTGCCCAGGGCCTCCCCCCGGGCCCCGCCTGGCCAGGATTTGCCCACGGAGGGGCAGCTCTGACATTTAATGCGAGGGAATTGAGGAGATCCTCTCCCAGCTGCCTCCCCCTACAGGACTGAGCCTCTCCAGCCAGTCCCTCTCCCCTCCCCAGCTCCTCTCCTTGTGCCCCCACTGCTACCTCCCCACATTCCCTCCCTTTCTCCACAGGACCCATGGGCAGCATGGGGGAGGGGAAGAGCAGGGGGTGGGACTGCCCTGCCTCCAGCCCCCTGGAGAGCAGAGCTGGGCAGGGGCCCTGGGGAGCAGGACCTCTCAGCTCCTGGCAGGCGGAATGGCTGGGGCGGGAGGGGCATATTCGCTGGGCGAGTGACACAGGTGGTGCCATGAGGACTTGGCAAGGCAGAGCAGGCTCCCCAGGGCCCGGCGGCCCCCAAACTGTGTGTGTGTGTGGGGGTGGTCCCCTCGCTGCGCCCAGGAAGTGTGGGCTTCAGCAGAGCCGGGGGAGCAGGGCAGACAGATCCCTTTGCTCTGTGCCAGCTGGCCCAGGGGCAGCTCCTGACCAAGGGGTGAGGGAGACTCAGCCCTGGGCATCCCACCAATGTGGCCCTCACCCTGGGGAGGGACAGGGCCCAGCTGGCCTGGCCCCCAGGAAAGGACTCAAGTCCCTTCCATCTGCAGGGTGCCACAGTGGCAGGGCCTGGCGCATGGTGCCCCTGCTGGCACTCACCTCGGAGGGGCTCATCTCGCCAGGCAGCTCATACTGGTCCTGCAAGGGAGGGAGGGAGGCGGAGTGTTAGCCAGGCTGTGGGGACGTGGAGCCGGTGTGTGCCACGGAGCCAGGGTGGGCATGATTGTGCCCGATCCGGCTCTGACTCGGGGAGCTTGTGGCTCCCTCCAGCCTCCCGGCTCAGAGCACAGTGCTGATTGTGGGCAAGGAGCAACCCGGCCCACCAACACTACCTGCTGCGCCCAGATCCCCACTCTTCCCCCTTCAGCCCAGCTCAGCTCCCTCGCCCTGCCTTGTCTCAGGCCCCTCACACTGCCCCGCTTGAACGTGGATTTTCCCCCTCCCATGCCCTGCATCCCAGCTCCCGACTCTGGCTCTGCAGGACACTGCTGGCCACAGAAGCCAGGCTGCACCCCACTGCTCAGCTCCCCCCTCGACGCCCCAGACACCTGCTCTCCACACTCCCTCTCCCCATGCTGCTCCAGAGCTCACTCCTCTGCTGCAGGGAGCAGTCCCCCTGCCTGCCCTGCCCAAGGCCCAGGGCTCAAGGAGGGTGCAGGGGTTCAGGCTCGAGCCTGGGAGCTGCAGGTTCTAGTCCGTGCCCCGCCATATATTCCCCTTTGGTGAGTCCCCCAAGCCCAGAGGCCCAAGGTATTTAGACACTGAACTCCCATGCCATCGATGTCAATGGAGGTTAGGAGCCCAAATACCTCGGAGGGTCTGGGCTTTTGTCCTTCTGTGCCTCAGGTCCCATCCAGTGCTCAGCTGCTCCTGGGTCAAGGGCAGAAGCAGGGGGATCTGCCTCTCTGGTTTGCCTGCCCGGGTGGGAGCTGGCTGCAGTGTTACTCCCCCTCTCAGCCGACTGCCGCCCCTCGCTCCAGGCCTCCTACACCTGGGGGCCTCCCGTGAACACACTCCAAGCTCAGCCCCCTCCCCCAAAAGCTGGCACTGTGCCCCTCTCACAAGGGGTTGCATGTAGTTGGGGGCGCCTGGCTCTGGGGAGGGATCACAGGCCCCTTTGCGCTGGCAGCCCCTCGCTGCTCGCAGCCTGGCGTGCCCTCAGCCATGCTCCTCTGCCCTCAGGGGCTCCCGGAGCCGCCTCTGCAGTCTGGCTCATCCCAGGCCAGAAAGGCACGGGAGGGGAGCACCCACAGGCGTGAATCGGGAGAGCTCACTGGGGAAGGGGAGGTAGATCGGCAGGGGAAGGAGCGATGATCTAGGATGTGCTAATTTCCGAGTGGATCGTCGCCAGATTGGTCGGTTGGAAGGAGCGTTAAAAGGCTTCCATTGGATCAGCTGGGAGAGGGGAATCAGATCAGCTCAGGAGGTATTGATTTCTGATTGGCTGGTAGGAGTGGATCATTGCCAGATTAGTCGGTTGGAAGGAGCGTAATTAGGCTCCCACTGGATCAGCTGGGAGAAGGTGAAATGGGATGGGGGGGTCAGATCAGAGACCATACTGTGCTGAAAGTCCCCAGAGCTCAGGATGGCTCCAGGAGTGGAGCGGGGGGTGTGTCTGTGGGGTGGGGGGATGGACATAGGAACTCCGCTCTCCTTGCCCATCCTCTGCACGTGGCAGACAGGCTGTATAGGGGCGGGGCAGGCAACGGCCGGGGCCAGTCTCTGCAACACGGGCATGCTTCTGCTTCTTGCCCCTTGGGCCACCCTGATCGTCACCCGTGCGCTGGGAGTCAGGACGCCTGGGTTCTATCCTTGGCTCAGCCACTGCCTGGCCATGGGGAGGAGGTCCCTCCCCGCCTTTGCGCCTCGGTTTCCCCACCTGTAAGCCGGTGTGGTGACCCCACAGCAGGGCCCGGGGATTCATTAAGGCGTGCCAGGAAGGGCTCTGCAGCTGGAAATCCCGAGGGAGGCTGCAGATGGTTGGAGGTGTGGGGCGCCCTCAGCACAGTTCGGGGGAGGGTGGCGGCTGGCCTGTGGTTGGCCAAGGCGCGGCACACACTTACCGCGATGGAAATGCGGACGCGCTTCAACTTGCGCTTTTCGGGTGGTGCTGAATTCTCAGACTTTTTAGCCACGAGAAAAACAGGAGAGAAGACAGAGGCATTATGGGAAACCACAGCGGCCTGGCCGGGCGCCATCGCCCCAGGGCCTCGGGTGGGGGCTGGGCACAGAGCAGGGGCCAAGGTGCCATGGTGGTGGGGAACACCGTCTGGGGGGGGGGGTGGAGGGGCACTCACCTCAGCAGGCTCCATGGCAGCGCTGGTGCAGAAGAGGCTCTTGAGGGCAATGCCCGAGTGATCTGGGCTCCTGGCTGGGGACACACAAGCAGAGAAACCGTTAGTGCAAAGGGCAGTGAGCCGGGAGCCTGGCCGGCACTATGGGGCCCACGGGGGGGCTCACCTGTGGGGCTCTCCAAGGTGCTGGGACTTCGCTTGAGTGCCGGCTTCAGGGGCTTGCGGGACGCTCCGTGTGGCGGGGCCGATGAGGATTCCTCCGTGCTGATCTGGGGGCAGCATGTACAGGGGGCTTGAACCAGCACCTGAGCCTGGTAGGGTGGGGTGAGTCCAGGGCATCCCACCCCGAGTTCCCCAGGTGGGATGGGGAACGATGTGACGAAGTGGGACTGTTCTTAATGTTTCCTCTGAATCGTTTGGGGGTGCCTCAGTTTCCCCTAGGCAGTTCTTAAGTATCTAGGTGGTGGGATAAGGGCGTATGATCATTGCAGAGCCCTAGAGGGCAGGTGTGTGCAGGGGTCTGGACACAGAGAATGGCCGACACCCTGTTTCCTGGCAACTGATGGCCTGGGCCCTTCTCCCCTGCAAGGTGAGAGCTGAAGGGTTGGAGATCAAAGGAATCAGGTGCCCTCCTGGCCCTGGAAAGGGACAAAGCCCAGAGGAGGGGGTACTGGAGAGAGTTTCAGTTTGGGGCTGGCTGGGGACATGGAGTGAAGTGCAGATGTGGTTGTCTGGCTCACTGCCCCCCCAAATGGACCCGGCTGAGGGTCCTGTTCTCTGCACCTACAAGCGCTGTGTTAGACCATGTTCCTGTCGTCTAATAAACCTCTGTTTTACTGGCTGGCTGAGAGTCACGTCTGACTGCAGAGTTGGGGGGCAGGACCCTCTGGCTTCCCCAGGACCCCGCCTGGGCGGACTCGCTGCAGGAAGCGCACGGAAGGGCAGAGGAGGCTGAATGCTCCGAGGTCAGACCCAGGAAGGTGGAAGCCGGGTGAACTGCTTGCCCTGCAGACAGGCTGCTCCCAGAGAGGAGACTTCCCCAGAGTCCTGCCTGGTGTCGTAGGGAGCAGCTCCAGAGCAGCGCCCAGGGACCCCGTGACAGGCGAGTCCAGGGCATCCCATCCCCAGTTCAGCAGGGGTGGGGGGGCAGAATTTCCCACAACCAGCCAGGTGGGATGGGGAACCATGGGCCTGGGGCATCCATACCCCATCCAGCCCAGCCCAGTTCAGGGAGGCATAGTTCTGTGATGCCCCATTACCAGGCCAATCCAGAGCATCCCAGGCCAGAGGGAGGGCGGGTAGGCAGGGGCCCAAGGTGCACCATCCAGGCCAGGAAGATTTAGACCTGCGCTCACAGCCAGCCCAGACTTGACCAGATTGGCGTGAGGAACCGGGGGGGGGGGCACTCCCAGACAGAAGCCTCTCGAAGGCCTGGGAGCGCTGGGTGCTTTGGAGTTTCCAGCCAGCGGCTCCCTGCATGGCAGTGGGGTGAGGGTGCAGCGGGCCCTGAGCATCCCATCACCAGCCCAGCCCTGGCAGTCGGGCAGGGGATCCCCATGCTGCCCCCTGCCTCTCACCTGGAACTGCACTCCCGGGTGGGAGGCCCCGTGGCCGGCCTTGTCCTGGGGCTTCTCGGCGACGCTGCTCCTCCCGGCCTGCGCCCTCTCCTGCATGTACTGCAGGCGGTGCTGGTAGCCCAGCTGGCTGCTCAGCAGTGCTGCCACCTGGGCCCGCTCGATGGAGCCCAGCAGGATCATGGACTCTGCAGGAGACCAGCCCCAAAGGGCCGCCAGCCCGTCAGCTTGGGGGTCACAGCTGGGAGCGGCGTTAGCTTCCCCGGGGGCTAGATCCACCCCCTCCCCAGCCCCCAGGGTGGAGACCCAAACCTGAGCCCTCAGGAGAGCTGCCATGCCTCCTTGCAGGAGAGCTCAGGCTGCCAGCCCATTGGCAGGGCTCGGGGAGGGGATGCGGGGAGGATGGGACAGGTGTGCCCTGCAGGACTCCTGGCTCCCAGGCCTGTCCGTCCATCTGTCCATGGAGCAGTAGCTGAAAATGAAAAACCCAGTCCCACCCAGGCCGGAGGCACCGGGGTCCACCCTCCCCGGGCAGGGTGGGGTGTCTCTAAGAGCAGCTGCCACATGGGACAGAGCCTGCTTGGTCTTCCTGTTTCAGCACGAGGATGCGGGAGGCCCAGGGCTCTGAGCTTGGGGCTGGGAGACAGCAGGACTCCTGGGTCCTATTCCTGGCTCTGCCCCAGGCTTGCTGGCTGACCTTGTGCCAGTGCCTTCCCCTCTCTGGGCCTCAGTTTCCCCTATTGCAACCCGGGGATAACTGCTCCGGGGGAGGGGGCAAAGGCGCAGTGCCCAGAAACGGGAAGGGACCATCAGGGTCTCCTACAGCTGGGCCTGAACTCCCCGCTCTGTGCCCAGGTCTGCTCCCTGCCCACCAGTGTGCCCACGGGATGCTGGGTCCAGGCTGATGAGTCTGGGACCTTTGGGTCTGCTTGCTCTGGAGCAGGGCCTGGGACTCTGGGGCAAGCAGGAAGGCCCCACGGTGCCCACAGGCAAGAACTGAGAGGTTCTGCTTCAGGCACCAGCCCATGTGTGAGGAGTTGTGGGGTCTCAGCTAACAGAAGAGCCCTGAGCCCCACCCTCTGCAGTTAGGAGGCCCATCCTCCTCCCCTTCCCCACCACTCCTGTTTATTTGCCGTCTGGCTCTGAAGTGGGGTGAGGAAGGATCCACTGAAAGAGGCTGCACTGGCCTTCCTGTTTCCGTTAAACTTTACAGATTGCCATGGTAACGCAGCATCCTTTGTCGCCACAGTAATGGGCATGGCAGACAGGCAGAGGAGATAAACGTCAGAGTGGGCTGTCGTCTGGCACAGGGCCGGGCAGAAGCTCAGGATGATCTCAGTGCCCGGCCCCTTGCCAGGGAGACGGGCCCAGTGCCAGAGCACTGCTGACCCGGGAGTCTGCTGGGGGCGCTGGGTGGGGAGGGGCTCCTGATGGCCACTCTGCGGGCAGCCTGCTCTGCCCAGGAGGGCTGTGCTGGCCCAGGGGCTGGGCACACATGGTTGGCACGGCCCAGAGTGAGCTGGGCACAGCCCAGGCTGGCCAGGGCACGAGGCGCTCTGGACCGCCCCCGCGGCGTCGCCTGCTCCCTGTGCAGCCCCCACATCTCACCAGCCGACTCCACCAGCGCCAGGCTCTTCAGCTTGGTGTTGCACAGCACCTCCTGCAGGTTGCGGTACTTGCAGTTCAGGGTGAGGTAACGCACGTCCCGCACCATGATGTCCTCCACCCGCATGTTGTACTTCCTGCAGAGAGCAAGGCACGGCCCTGAGCAGGGGGCGGGAGGGCTGCTGCCGAGCGCTCAGCCCTGCCGCGCGGGTCCCGTCCAAGCTACGCTCCCCCAGCACCTTGGGGGCAGGTGAGCGGCTCATCTGGGTGTGAACAGGCTGGGTCCCGGTCCCAGCAGTCCCCCAGGCCTGGGAACCACAGCAGCTGCTGCATGGTTCTAGTGCCCATCACCAGTGTGTCTGGGCACCGAGCGGAGCTCCTGACCTGGGTCCCCTGAGCTCCCAAGAGCCTTGGCCTTGAGAGGGGCTTCCTGCAGAGGCTCCGGCTCCCCCCGGGGAAGGGAGCCCGGGCAGGCCCTTACTCCTGGTGCCCCCAGCCCAGCTCAGGCAGGTACGGCAGCTTCTTGATGCGGATGATGCTGTCGTAGAGTGAGGGCTGCAGGCTCTGGGCCACGGCGTTGGCCAGGATGACGGCAATCATCACGGGCAGGATGTGGGAGATCTGGCCCGTCAGCTCGAAGACGATCACGGCGGTGGAGACCGTGTGGGTCACGGCGCCAGAGAGCGCGGCTGCTCCTGTGCGTGGCAGAGAGCGGCACAGTGAGACTCTGGCAGGGCTGGAATGGCCCTGAGCCAGACCCCACGGAGCTGCCACACAGTGATGCCCCCCAATGAGCCCCAGCCCCCCCCAGCAGCCCCAGGGAGGGGGACCAGTATGTGACCCCTATGGCACAGCCCCCCCCACACCCCCAGGGAGCCCTCAAGCTGCTCTGCCAACCCGTCTGCACCAGCCACCAGCCTCCTGCTGCCGCCTGCTCCCATCACAGGCCCAGAGGAGAATTGGGCCCTGGCTCCCTGGTCCTGGCGCTCTGGAGACATCCCCCTCCGGGGAGGAGCCTAGACACGTCTCTGTGGTCGTACAGATTTGGGTTCCCCTGAACAGCCTGGCTCACTCCAGGGGCTGGCAGGAGGGAGATGCACCTGCACCACGAGTAGGTTCTTTGGGCGGTCGGACTGGCTGGAGCCCGTGGCAGCCTCTCCTCGGCCGTGGAAACGTGGCGCTTACCTACCACGGCGTAGCCCCCCGGCACGATGCGGTAGGTGTTGCTGTCGGTGTGGATGCCATCCGGGAACCAGGCTGCCATGCTCTCTCCTACCAGCCGACCGAAGGCCGCACCTGCCCAAGGAGACAGGGGTCAGAGGGGGTCTGGGGGCAGCCCAGGCATCTTCAGGGAGGGGAGAAAATCGGTTGTATGCTGTTGCCTCTGGCACGGTGCCCATCCCTGTGGCGACGCGGCTGCTCAGGGGGCAGTCACTGCTCCACCAGCTCTGAGCTCCACAGCAGGGCCCTGCCCAGGGCTGCCAGCTGCTGTGCTCTAGGGAGCCAGCTAAGCAGACGTCCCAGCCCCTTAGTGCTGCTGGGGAAGTGGGAGCCGGAGCAGCACCATGAGAGGTGGCCCAAGGTGGCACTAGGGTCTGTACCCCCTATGGCTATTCCCTGCCCCTTCCTTCCCACCCTGGGTGGTTGGGGCTCTGGAGTGAGGATGGTGCTGGCTGCATGCTCCCGCAGGGGCAGGGGAGGGGTGCTGTGCCACCCAGCGCTAGTGAACACTGGGCCACCACCACTCCGACCAGGGCTGAGAGGTACCGAAGCTCCTTCCCAAAGCCCTGAGCAGGCCTGGCACTCCGGGAAAGGGCCTGCCCCGAGGGGCAACCCCCGGCATCAGGACCCCATCACACTCACGGGGCACCAGCCACACCAGGGAGCTGCCACTGTTGCCGGAGGACAACGGCCAGCACAAGGGGACTGTGGGCAAACCAGCTCTCTCCTCTCTGCCTGGAGGGGCTGGTTAGTAGCTCGTGGAGGCGCTGTCCCTTTGGGAGCTGGGTGGCATGGGTAGGGCTGCCCTGGGCTCTGCACAGGCAGGCCGGCTCAGGGCGAGGCCAGGAGTGCCTCCGGGGCTGGTACTCACCAATGACAAAGACGGGCATGAAGGTGCCGCAGGGCACTGGGATGGTGGTGGCCAGGGCTGACATCCAGAACTAAGGGCAGAGACATGAGTCAGGGGTCATCCAGCCAGCCAGATCCTCCGCACACCCACCCAGCCAGCGCCATGCCCATGCCCACCCAGACCACACGCACCCATCCAGGGGCCTGACCACACCCCAGCCAGGGCCACACCCATCCAGCCAGGGCCCCTCCCACACCCCAGCCCCGGTGCGGGGGAAGGGGAGGAGGAGAGGGGGTGTGAGCTGGACAGCCCCAGCCCTGGCGCGGGGACCCACCTTCATGAGGATGAAAACCAGCAGGGTGACGAAGACGTTGGCGTGCGAGTGCTTCCAGGCCTCAGAGATGCCAATGTACTCGAACTCCTCAGCCAGGCCCTGCTTGGCCCAGGTGCGGTTGTCAAACAGGGTCACCAGGGTGTCCTTCTGGCTGAGCTGCGGAGAAGGACCGTGGCAGACAGGGTGAACCCGGGGCAGCGCCTCCACCCCATCTCCCCACCCTCCCGAGGATGCTCCCTGTCAGGGACCTCGTGGGGGCTGGGTGCCCTCCCCAGCCCAGCCCAGCCCATCACAGCATCTGGCCCTCTGGCTGCTGGAGATCTGGGAGACATCAGGGCTGACACTACTGGAGCTTTGGCTCCAGATGCCAGGATCCCGGGTTCAAGTCACAGCTGGGGCAAGCACAGAGCAGCAGGTTCTCCAAATGAGTGCCAATGATACCCACTGGGCAGGGCTGCCAGGCTAGGGTAGGGGAGCAGGTTACCTGGCCGGCCATGAACTGTCCGAAGCCAGGCGGGAAGGTGAGCGTGGAGATGAGCAGAGTGACCAGCGCGGGGAAAAGCAGGCGCCTGCGTGGGAGCAACATACACAGCAAGTGATCCCACCGCACCCACCGCAACTGGCCCCAGCCCTCAGGGAAGGACTAGCACCACCCTGTGCCCAGCAGCTCCCATGCCAGCAGCTGCTTCATAGGGAACCAAAGAGCCCAGCCAGCATGCAGCGCCCCACCCAGCTCAATCCCCTGCTCCCCAACCCCAACTCGCCCCAGTCTGGGTTCTCCCTCCACCTGCTCTTCAGCCAGGCCTGGTTCTGGGGGTGCTGTACTCAGCGCCCCCTGCTCTGGGATCAAAGGGCCCCTAGTCTCAGGGAGGGAGCCAGCAGGCACCACTTACTTCTTCATCAGGAAGCGGTTGATGGTCTTCTGCTTGCGCATGAACTGGACGATCTTGCGGTTGAAGTAGACAAAGAGTGCCCCTCCGAAGCCACTGGCAATCCTGGGGAGAGGGGCGTCCGAGTGAGCCACCACCAGGAAGCTACTGCTGGGGTGGTCCTGTCAGGGATGGGGGGGGCACTGAGGATGCCCCCTGCCCCAGCACAGGGGGCCCAGAAAGAGGGGAGAGTCCCCTCATATATCCCTCCCCGTCCCACCCAGGAAGTCTGATATCTCTCCCCCCTGCCCCGCAGCAATGCCCCCCCGAGTGGGGTTGGAGTGACAGAAGGCACTGGACTCACCCGATGACAGCAAAGGCGGGCAGCTCCTGCAGGTCGAAGGGGAAGTCCAGCCGGAAGCGGGTTTTGAACAGAGCCGTGATGGTCTCTGGGGGGGATGAGACACCGCGGGGGGGAGCGTGTCACCCAGGGGACCTCCAGGGAGGCCTAGCACCCGGACGCCCTGCTCCAATACTGGGCAGCTGCTCGCCACTCAGAGCACTGCGGCCCCTTGGGCCCATGCCATTAGGCCGGGCCTGGCTGGAGACCCCCATGGCCTTGGTTGGACTCTGCTCCCCCCCAGCTCTGCCAGTGCCCCTTAATCCCACCCCCCAGCTCTGCCAGCGCCCCTCAATCCCAACCCCCGACTACCCCAGCCCTGGGCTTTCCCCACCCCCCAGCTCTGCCAGCGCCCCTCAATCCCAACCCCCGACTACCCCAGCCCTGGGCTCCTGCCAGCAGGGCAGTAGCCGGTGCAGGCTGGAGGGGCCGGTTCCCTGGGGGGCTGGGCGGGCTGTACCTTCGTCCTTGTTCCACACGGCGAGCACGCGGAAGATGAAGGCACTGAAGGTGGCGGCGAAGAACCCCCGCCAATAATTGCGGACGGCGAAGAAGGTGGACGTGACCTCGATGCTGAAGAGGACGCCTGGGGAGGCAGAGGGGAGGGGAAGAAGCAGTGCCACCATGGCCCCTTGGCACACTGGGGGCTCCGCTCCACACAGCCCGCGGCCCCAAGACGGGCCTCCCGGCCTGCACAGTCCACGCAGGGGCCGGCACAGGGTCACCAGACCCAGACACACCTCCTGGGGCATCTCCACTTCCCCAGGCTTTACATTTGTGTGCCAAGGCCTCTTGGGACCAGACTATAACCGCATGGGCAGCTCCTGGGGTTAGGTGGGCACCTTGGGTCCGTGTGGTTAGCCGCGTATGGGCACGGTCGCAATTTGCAGCTGGCTGGCCCTGAGGTGAGGATGGCAGCTGGGAGAGGGCCCTGAGCCACCCCCTGCCAGAGCCAAGTGGTCCCCTCTCCAGCCAGCTGGGCAGCCACCCCCAACAGCGAGCGGGTCCCGCCTTGGGGGCACAGGGGAGTGGTGCGAGTGAGTGGGCAGTGCTGGGGCATAAGCAGGGACCAGCCCATCTTGGGGGAGAGGGGGCAAGGCACTGACAGTCCAGCTGGGGCAAGCAGGAGGAACAAGCATACACAGACAGATGGACAGAGGGGGACACTGCAAAGAGTTAGACACGTCACCAACCTAGGAGCGCAAAGCAGCGAGGGAGCCATGGGGCCGGAGCTGGGCCTCCCTGGAGCGCAGAGAGGAGGGGAAAGGAGGAGATATTACATCTTCTGGGGGGATCGCCCTCCACGCAGTGGCCTCTGCCACCCCCGCCATGGGCACAGAGCCTTGGGGACCCCCCTAGGCACCCGGGAGGCCAGTCCTGGCCGGTGCGTGTCTCTGGAGCCCAGGGTACCTGCAGCGTTGAGGTGTGGGGGGGTTCTGGGGGCTGCTGGGCTCCGTCCCGGGAGGCCCGTACAGACTGGGTTGGTGCCCTGGGGCCTGTGTGCCCGGGCATGGGCAGGGCAGTCGGGGAGCGGCTTCCCTGCAGTTGGGGGGAAAGCGAGAGGCAACACAATGGCAGAGTGCAGGGGGGATCGGGGGCTAGTCCGGGCACAGCTGTGAGGAGAGAGGAAAGCAGGGGGCTGGGCCCAAAACCCTGTGTTCATCTGGCCTGCACGCCCCATAGCATCCACCTGTGTCCACCCGTCCTGCCGCTTGGGGGGTGTCAGGTGGGGACCCCAGCGACTTGGGGGGAAGAGGCGGTGGCCTGTCCCGGGCCTCGCTCCCGGCCAGTTTGGTGGCCAGCCAGGCCCAGGTGTGCAGGGCCTCCCCTGCCATGTGGCTGTCCCCACCAGATCAGGGTCTTGGGGACACGAGGTGCAAAGGCCTGTGAGGGGGATGGGGCCCCCTGGCCAGGCACAGCTCCCATGCTGCCCTGCTGGAGGGCTGGGTTAGCTCAGAGCCATGGGCAGCTCTGGGATCAGGCAGGGCAGGGGCAGGGGAGGGTCCAGCCCCACAGCCCGCATGGCCGGCCCTACCTCCGATGGGGGCAGCAAAGCAGCAGCCGACGCCCACGGCACAGGCAGCCGCCAGCATCTCAATATTGCGAGACTCGTTCTGCAAGGCAAGAGAGAGCAGGAGACAATGGAGGGCAGCGCCGGGACGGGAGCTCCCTGCGGGGACACGCCCCAGGCAGCCGTGGCCAGAGAGACCCTCCCGGGGCTCACCTCTCCCCTGCCATGGCCGGAGACACCCCCGAGGGGCTCACCCGCTCCCCTGCCAGGGCCAGAGCCACCCTCCCACCCCAGCCAGCCATGGACAGAGACACCCCCCGTGGGGCTCACCCTCTCCCCTGCCATGGCCGGAGACACCCTCCTGCCCCACCCAGCCATGGACAGAGACACCCTCCCTTGGGGCTCACCCTCTCCCCTGCCATGGCCGGAGATACCCTCCTGCCCCACCCAGCCATGGACAGAGACACCCCCTGTGGGGCTCACCCTCTCCCCTGCCATGGCTGGAGACAACCCTGTGGGGCTCACCTGCTCCCCTTCCAGGGCCAGAGCCACCCTCCCGCCCCAGCCAGCCATGGACAGAGACACCCCCTGTGGGGCTCACCCTCTCCCCTGCCATGGCCGGAGACACCCTTCAACGGGCTCACCCTCTCCCCTGCCAGGGCCAGAGCCACCCTCCTGCCCTGCCCAGCCATGGCCAGAGACACCCCCCATGGGGCTAACCCTCTCCCTTGCCAGGGTCAGAGAGAACAAACCTCCTGCCCCCCAGCCCAAAGGTCCCTCCGCATACCTGAGAGCCCCCACCCCCCGCCCAATAGACCTGCATTCCCAGCCCAGACCTGCCCCCGGTACCCGTTTGGTCAGCACCCGCAGGCCGCACAGCGTCAGCCTCTCACCTTGTAGATGCCTCCAAAGAGGGAGAGGAATTTGCTGAGCAGGGTGGCACACATGCTGGCAATGTGGACAAAGGGCCCCTGTGGGAAGAGTGCCAAGGACCGGTTACCACGGGCACCCAGCCTCAAAGCAGGGAGCCTTGTGGGAAGACTTGCTCATGGGCAGAGCTGCCCACCCACTGCACCTGGCACACGCCCCTCCAGCACCGCCCACCCACTGCACCTGGCACATGCCCCCCCAGCAGCGCCAACCACCCACCACATCTGGTACATGCACCCTGGTAGGGCCACCCGCCCACTGCACCTGGCACCCAGCTTGTGCCCCCTCCAGACATGGCCCAGTAGCTCCTCTGCCCCTCTTACCTCCTTGCCCAGGGGCATCCCGCTGCCCAGAGCACAGGTCAGGCCGATGACCTTGGCCACGAAGGTTTTGAGGGTGAGATATTCCTTCAGCACCACACCCCGGAGAATGGTCTTCATCTCGGGAATGCCAGAGCCTGGGGAAGGGGATGGGTGAGCACCCAGACAGAGGGTCCGTACCCTTTTGCGGGGGAAGGGAAGATCCAGGTTCAGCCCCCCACCCCCAGGCCGGAGAGCTGGGCACAGGAGGGGTGATTCCCCCAGGCGTGGCCTCGCACAGCGGGCTGGGGGATCCCAAGGGGCAGGGGCTGGCTCCTACCCACAGCCTGCGGGGCCAGGATCTGGGTGAAGCCGGCCGAGAAGGTGATGAGCACCACGGGGTAGGTAACCCAGGCCATGTACTGCAGGAAGATGTTGGTGTCCAGGCCCCCGTACATCCACTTCTGGGCTGCAGAGAGATAGGGGGAGTCACTGAGGGGGCTTGCTGGGATCAGGGTCACTGACTCCCCAAAGGGACTGAGCCTGGCCCAGCCCAGGGGAGGGAGGGCACAGATGGGGCCCCACTCAGGGTGACAGGGCCCCATCCAGAGGGGCCAAATGCTTCCACTGCCGGGAGCCTCTGCTCAAGGCAGCCACCATGTCACGGGACTGAGCCCAAACCCACGGGAAGAGACAGCACCCCTGGGCAGCAGCCTGCCTAGCCATGCCTCGGACACATCCCTGCCTGGCTGACACCTACCCAGCTCCACACCTGGGCCCAGCCCCCTGGCTGACAGGGTACCCAGCCCCCCACCTGGGCAATCCTGGCTGTGCCCTCAGGGTGCCAAGTGGACCAGCTGCCTGGCTCAGGTTGTGGGCATAGAGGCGAGTGGCCCCGGCCCCCCTCACCTTGCAGGCAGGTGGCTATGGCGAAGTCCATGGCCCAGCTCACTAGCGCCATGACCAGCCCCAGCAGGATGAGGAAGATCCAGTCCTCGCCCACCTTGGAGATGAGGAACTTCTGGCATCGCACGGTGCAGACTGTGGGGAGAGCGCGGGAGCTGAGCGTGGAGAGCGAAGGGCCCACCCTCCCTGCCCAGCCCCTGGAGGCAAGATTAACCGACCCCCCGTAACCTGTCTCCCACATGGCCACGGGGATGGGCACGGCTCAGACGCATGGAGAATCCGCACAGATCTCTTTGCAGCGATCCAAGCTCTCCAGCAGTGGGCCACTGGGGCACCGGGGGTGGGGGAAAGGGGAAATTGTGGGCTGGGGGAGCGTCCAGGACCCAGGCGGCCAGGTGGGCTGGGACACGGCCCCGGCAGACCCTCAGGGGTTAGCGCAGCCTGGGTATCTGCACTGAGCTCCGGGTCAGCTCCTCAGGACAGGGCACAGGGGATGGGCAGAGCCAGCCTGTGCCCGCTCCGGCTATTTGCCCTGGCTCCTGCCCTGGCCACAGGGACCTTGCAGGCCGGGCTCAAGCCTCTGTCGCTCAGGGAGAGATGGGGCTTGGAGGAGAGAAGTCAGAGCAGTCGGGCGCAGGGCCAAACTCCAGGAGAAGGGACACCCTCGGGTAGGGCTGGCCAGGGGTCCAGGAGGGTGCTGAGCCTGAAGGACCCAGGGGAGGGAGGAGCCGGCTCAATGCTCCCTGGGGACCCCAGCTGCCTTTGCATGGGTCAGCTCCTAGGAAAGGCATGGGCTGTGCCCCCCGGGGTGCCCTGAGCTCAGGGGGCACAGGCTGAACTGGCTCCAGGGCAGCGAGCCAACCAGCAGCTTGTGTTAACTCACCTGCTCTCGCCCAGACCTCAGCCGTGCTGGGCAGAGCAGCCCAGCCCCATACCCCCAGCTGGGGAGAGAGACAGGGAAGTTCTCACCCCCAGGGCTCTGCCTGGCCAGGGAACCTGGCACAGGATGGCAGAGAGGAGCACTCAGCAGGCGGGTCACCTGGGGCCCACCCACCCACGACTGACGCTGCCCCAGCCCAGAGCGCCCCTCAGCCAGGAACGCATGGGCACAGAGCTGGGAGGTTGCTGGGCAAATGGTCCTCCCACCCCACAGCTCTGCCAGCGCCCCTCAGTCCTGACCCACAGCCCCCTGCTATCTCAGCCCTGGGCTCCCCACCCACAGCGCCGCCAATGTCCCTCAGTCCCAGCCTAAACTCCCTCTTAGCTACGTGGCCACGCAGAAGGCTCTAGCGGGCCACGCAGGCAGGGAGAGGCACCTCTCCCCTGGCCCCAGCCTTGGAGTTGCTGCAGCTGGAGAGAGGCGCCTTTCCCCCGGCCCCAGGCTGCTGCAACGAGAGAGGGCTGGGGGCAGTCCTCTCTCCCTGCCGCAGCCCCAGGGCAGCCTGCACCCCAAAGCCCTCGTTTCTGGCCCCCCTCCCAGAGTCGCCCCCACCCGCCCCGGAACCCTCACCCCCCTGCGTACCAACCCTCTGCCCCATCCCTGATCCTCCTCCCGCACCCCAAACCCCTCATCTCTGGCCCTACCCCAGAGCCCACAGCCCCAGCCAGAGCCATCACCCCCGCACACCCCAACCCCTCTGCTCCAGCCCTGAGCCCCCTCCACACTCCGAACCCCTCGGCCCCACCCCCGCCACACGTCACCTCCATCTTGGTGCACATAACAAAATTCATTCCGCACATGGATGTAAAAATTTAAGGGAACATTGGTCCCAACCCACATCCCCCGCTGCTATCCCAGCCCTGGGCTCCCCCCATAGCTCTTCCGGTGCCCCTCAGTCCTGACCTACAGCCCCCACTGCTATCCCAGCCCTGGGCTCCCCTGACCCATAGCTCTGCCGGTGCCCCTCAGTCCTGACCTACAGCCCCCACTGCTATCCCAGCCCTGGGCTCCCCTGACCCATAGCTCTGCCGGTGCCCCTCAGTCCTGACCTACAGCCCCCACTGCTATCCCAGCCCTGGGCTCCCCTGACCCATAGCTCTGCCGGTGCCCCTCAATCCTGACCTACAGCCCCCACTGCTATCCCAGCCCTGGGCTCCCCTGACCCATAGCTCTGCCGGTGCCCCTCAGTCCTGACCTACAGCCCCCACTGCTATCCCAGCCCTGGGCTCCCCTGACCCATAGCTCTGCCGGTGCCCCTCAGTCCTGACCTACAGCCCCCACTGCTATCCCAGCTCTGGGCTCCCCCCATAGCTCTGCCGGTGCCCCTCAGTCCTGACCTACAGCCCCCACTGCTATCCCAGCCCTGGGCTCCCCTGACCCATAGCTCTGCCGGTGCCCTTCAGTCCTGACCTACAGCCCCCACTGCTATCCCAGCCCTGGGCTCCCCTGACCCATAGCTCTGCCGGTGCCCTTCAATCCTGACCTACAGCCCCCACTGCTATCCCAGCCCTGGGCTCCCCTGACCCATAGCTCTGCCGGTGCCCTTCAGTCCTGACCTACAGCCCCCACTGCTATCCCAGCCCTGGGCTCCCCTGACCCATAGCTCTGCCGGTGCCCTTCAATCCTGACCTACAGCCCCCACTGCTATCCCAGCCCTGGGCTCCCCCGACCCACAGCTCTGCCAGTGCCCCTCAACCCCGACCCTGCAGCCCTCTGCTCTCCCAGTGCTGAACAAAGATGCCCCTGGTGCCAGTTCATTGTGGGAGCTGCGCTGCGGGCAGTCCAGCAGAGACGGCTGCAGACGGAGACCCACAGTCCACTTGTCTCACACGCCAAACAACCCTGGACGTTGACATTTACATCACTCAGGGACCTGCCACAGCAGAGTGCCCTCAAAGGCCACGCTGGGGCAGAGTGAGAACTGCAGGGCCCCTCA